TTGGTAGATGTATGCAGATCTTATACTTGCTCTGCCTCTTGACTCAACCCAGTCCTGTGAAGGGAGAGGAACGAAGAATATGTCCCGGCTCCTCATGGCAGAGAACAGGGAGTCCCCGGGGCTGCAAAACTGCCACAAGCAAACTGAACCCTGCAGTGCTGAATGTGAGGGCTTTGGCCTTAAAGGGACTGTGCAAGGAAAACACAATACGACACAACAGATTCTGCTTCCCAGCAGATGCTTGCAGGGATGGTAAGATCCTGTTGTGAATGCCCAGAATCTGCCCTAACCTGAGGCTTCTTCCTCCTCCATCTGTGAGCCTCTTGGAGCAGGCTAGCTCTGAGGTGCACCCACTTCATGAGGAGTATTGCCTCCTGGTGTGTGCTCCCAGCAATGGAGGTAACTCCCCAAGGCTACCTCCAGTAAAGTAACTCCCCAAGGCTACCTCCAGTCTGTGAGGCTTCTTTCCCTCTCTGCTCTCACATGTGGGAAATGAGTGCAAAATCTTGGTCTAGCCTTAAAGTACATATAGACCCAAATATAAACTAAGCTGGGGTGGGGCTCAGGAGAACCTGACTTGGTTTCTTCCTAACCATCCCCTGTCTCTGGCTGCCGTAATTCCTCTGGTAGACTAAGCTTTTAATCGCTGAGGTATAATGAGGTGGCCACATCACTACCAATTACAAAATCACTATTATCCTTAAAACTGGGGTTGTTTATCTCCACTTGATGGGTGAATGTGTTTAAAAGGAACTGTGATTGTATGATCAGCCAGAGATCAAAACCTCATTAGACATCCTGCTTTAAGTGTTTGATGGAAGTCTCATGTTCCATGCTTCTGCTGGGGAGTCTCCTGGTGTAGTCCAGTATTATCCATAATACAACAGCTGCAATTTCTCCCCCTCCCCACCTCCTTCAGTGGAGCCAACAGGAATTTATGTACCTGCATCCAACAACCCTGGAATCCAGTGAAATTCCAGCCACTGGTGTCCTTTTTTGCACGTGTAAGTGCTGAGCCCTTTAGTGCTGTTGTGAAGGGTCAGGCCTGCTGCCAAGCTCTGCATGCCATAGGTAGAAATGCCTTGCTTGATTTGAAGCAGAAAGTAGAAGCAGAAGTTCAGGGGCTTAGGGAAGGGCAATGTCCAATGAACCTAGTGAGGGGAGTTGTGGCTTTCACCCTTGAGTGCGGGTTGCAGAGGATTGGCACTTAGGATCAGATTCCTGTTCAAGTATGCAGGCTCAGAGAATGTCTGATTCTAATGATCACTATCATAGGATGGGGAATCTGAATTCATCATCTGACACCTTAAGATGCCCTGGACAAAACTGTCAGGTGGTTGTTGTTGTTTTTTTCTCCTACAGTGTTGTAACTGCATGATTAGTACCTGGCTTTATTACATCTCTTATTGCTGTTGTTATAAGAACCATGCTTTTACGTGTTTGGCGTGAGCACCAGACTGCCTGGAACTTAGTGGAAGCCCACAGCTGTAGTTGTGGGTTGCTGCTGCCAGCAGCTGTAGCCTGTCCCAGGCTTGCTTCATACTTGATCCAGCATGAATTTTAATGGAGTCTGACCTGGCTGAGTTTCTAATGAGCCAGCACAGGTGTGGAGGCTGCCCGATTGGAGCAGATAGGTGAGTGATATGTAATGCTTTCTAGGCAAGCTTTGGAAGAAAGTAAAGGCCAATGACACTCTACAGAGGACAGTAACTGATAGCTAAAGGGACTATTTGTCTGAAGGTAGGGTAGAGGTGCATCTCCAATTCAATGAGTTCATAAGGTGCATAAGCTTTCATGAGCAGGAGCTCATAGTAACTTCCTGTGCTAAGGCAGGAAACTTGTCCTTCTCCATCCCTAATTTTAATCCAGTTTTGCTTGGCTAAACTGAAACATTTGTTGCAGTTTCTTTTGAGTATCTTGCTCCTTAATGTTCTGAGTGCATCTGCCTATGTCTAAATCTCAACTGTCAGTTGTATTAAGAGAATATTGTACAACCCTGCCTCCAGCTGTGCCTAATCAACAGAAAAAGAATCTGCTTCCATTCCAGTTGGAGAACTTTTGCTTCTTAGCTCTGTAAAATACCAGTCCAGTCCCTAACTTCTGCCAGTGCATCATCAACGGCAACATCTGGTTGCTGCTTGACTGTCTGTCAGCTTGAAATAACCTTACAAAGGTCCCATCTTGAAACCACCTGCCATCTCGGCAGGTCACTTACTATGATGTATTGCCCTATAAAGCACTTTCAAGCAGGCAACCGCCTGAAGTCCTGCCCCAAGCAAGTCTAGCCTTGACCTGTGACTTTTATAGAAATTAACCCACAACAGCTGTTGGGAACACTTGGCATTATTAGCCATAAGTCAAGCTAGGCCCAGACAGCCCAATGTCTGAAGAATACAAGGAATGACAGTGCTTGTAGACCTATGGCATGCACCTTCATCCTAACTTGTGCAAGTGCTCACAGGGAGAACAAAACAGGCTTTTGGCCTTGAGTCTGCCATTTAGCTATGATTTTTTTTTTTTAGGAAAACAAGCTGCATCTTGGTTCTTAAGAGGTTTAGCCTATAGCAGGATAGCTGAATAGTGACCCCAATATCACTTTCTTCCTGTAGTTATATAGATTCCCTAGTCTCCTGACTATTGAGAGCAAATATAACTATGGCCTTGAATACACAAGCTGGAACTGGGGAAGCAAATCTATTTTGTTACCATCTTTTAGTTTGCTGAAGTTTTTGTTTGGTAGCTTTACCCAAGTGCCCTTGTATCAATAGATGAACACACATCTGTATATGCAAATTAAAACAGACATAAACTGGATCTAAGACATGTGGGAGCATGTCCTTTGTCACATACTCGGGGGGTTGTCGGCAGGCATGTGAGGTGGAGGGAGGGGGAGGGTCCACAGGGGAAGGAGACCTGTGTTTCTGGAAGCATGAGGAGAGAGAGGGGAATCTACTTCTTCCAGAATTAGAGAATGTAACTTATTCCCAGACCTGGCACTGTGTTAAATACTCCTGTTGCAGGACTTGAAATCAGTATCATAAAGTACATTTGCCTCAAACACATCTCCTGATGAAAAGCCACCTTGTTAGCTAGTGTGTGTGTTGAGGGTGGAAAGACCAAAAGAATACTCAAATTCTGATTGCCAGACTTTTTTCGGTTGGGGGGGAAGTGGAGGGGCAAGTTGCAACTAAACTGAAAACCCCATGCCTTGTCTTTCTTCATTAAAGCTAGTTGGAGCTTGAAACTTTTTCTTCCGACACCTGTTTAGAGAACAAACAGGCATGGAGAGGCTGGAGAAATACATAGAAAGGAGTGGTTTAGGAGCCTTTCTCCTTCTTAGGGTGGTAGCTTTAAGCTGAAAACTTCATGTCACCCCAGTGCAGCCCTTTGGGTGGCTGGAGGACTGTCAGTTTTCTCAGTACTTAAGCTCTCACAATGTTCTGTGTGCTATTATCTGTCTTTCAATCACTTTGAAAATCTTTATACAAAGCACCATTTTGGTGCCAAGTAACATGGTACTTCTGACACTGATAATTCATCATATACAGGTCACCTAGGTTCATTTAATACCTCTGAGGCACTTATCTTTGTGATACTTGTCTGCTGTTGGCAGGCAAAGAAATGGCAAGCTCAAATGCCTATACCTACAGAGTTGGGCATGAAAATGGGTAAAGCACTTGAGAGTCCTGTTAGTCCCACTTTCTTCTAGCTTTCATTAGCATCCTAGAAATGGCAAAGAGCTCTTGATGCACAGTCTGTCTCTTAGACTTCTAATAGTAGATAGATAATAGAAGCTGTGTACAACAGGTTAGTACTCACCACGCCAGTATATCCCCAGAACAGTCATAGCACAAGAATCAATGAGACAACCTCCCACTCTGCTGTCTCCATATTTTTTTGTCCTGCCACAGGAGCACAGGTCCCTTCTTTTCTTCACCTGTATCGTTCATGGCTTCCGGTGAGCCTCCACTCCTTGCATAGTTTGTATGACTTTATAGTTTTCCTTCCTATTTTTCTCTACTTCTCAATCTCAGGACCTCCCCCCATGTATGTGTGAGCCTAGCTTGCATGTTTTGGCAAAGTTATTCTTACACTGGGAAAAAAACTGGGCTCTTGTCTAGGTTTTTTCTTTTCTTTCTTTTTTTTGTGTCAAAAACTGTTCCAAATATACAGATTTCAAATATAACCTCTAATGATGAGCATGTCTGTTCCTGGGCACCTATGTGAGCTGCCTTAAGTCTCACTTCAGAAGTGACACATTCTCTCTTCCATCTGGAATCCATGTTTCACACTTCTGAAACTGCAAGGACCCTGTTCAGTCACTCAACATCACCAGCAACTCTTGAAAATGTATATCCAAAAGATCCAAAAGTTTTTCTAGGGTTTTATCCCGTTCCTCTTAATTTCAATGGGAATAGTATCTTATACCAACAAAATGAGGCTGTCTGACTTTTTTCAGCGGTTGGGGCTGCATCTCCATAGGCTATAGGCTCCCCAGGCCACACATTGCATGGATTCCATGGGCTTTCCTGACCCATATACCCATGAATTCCCCTGTCATGCAGGCTCCCCTTGTTGTGCACCCCCCTCCCTCTTTGTACGAGCCTCCTTTAGTTCCTACCACTGTGTGGGGCCACCTAGGTCCCTGAGCTCCAGGCTCCCCAGAACTTGCTATCCTGCCCCTGGGCTGGGGACAAGAAGAGGGTCCAGCAGCAGCAGCTGTAGTTGGAGAGGGGACTGGCATTTGGGAGGTAGGCTGAGGGCTGCAGTTTAACCCCTTTCAGGCCATCAGTTGGGCAACCCTTCAATAAAACAACTCCAGTTCTTTCCAAATTTGTCAATATTCCTTGAAGCGCAGCATTAAAGAGTAGACCAGTTCTTAGCCAACTCGGTACACCAAAAATTTAGCACTTGCCTTCTCACATGCTGAACCTGGAAGAAGCTATTGGTCTCAACTTGGCTACTTACTAAAATAAGACCAAACATATTTCATAATCGCAATGCTTTTATTAAGCTTGTTACACATGTAATACAATAAATCCACATGTGGGCAAATATACAGTATGGTGCATGTTATAAATAGATTTCTAAAATATGAGTACATTTAATATAATGTCATAATACAAAAAAGGAATAATTTGCTTTATAAAACAAATTACATAAATGTGAAGGTAAGTGTTATGAACTGGGATTTTGACTCCCATCTAGAGCACTTCGGGCCTTATCCAGCACTGATTCACATCCCATGAAGTCAGCAGGATCATGCAGGATGTATCTCAATGCAAGTTTTGGCTTACGTGCTTATGAAGAAATACCGACTATTCACAGAATAATCATGCTTTAAATCTCTGCAGCTTTTGGGTGAAGCTGGAAAGATATACAGTGAGGAACAGAAACCTAGACTGGTGACAGAGACAGCACAACTGAAATATGTTGTAACTGCTGTTTTGGGGGTGGTCAGATTGGAACACCAAAGACCTGATTTTTAAGTAAGTTCTAAGCATAAACACTTCTGTAAAACTAGCTTTTGGACATTTTAACTTGAAAATCAGGCCCAGGCTGTCTTTAGTTGGCCACACAAATTAAAGGTCATTTTTGGAATCTTTTACATGTTTTGGTCTATGTGTCTAAACAGACTTTGATTTTTTTTAAATGGCGGTTCCTCCTTGGATTATGTCATGCATGAACACAATTCAAGCCAAATGTCTTCCAGCATGTTTTTGCATGTTCTGAATGAAAGGTGGACTGAAATCACTGCCTCCCCTCCCCCCCAGCTGCAAGTAAATTTGGATCCAGATCTGTATCTTTGGCTTCTAAACCCAGACAAACCACCTGGATTTAATAGCTTGTTTTCTCTACCTCCCCAACAACTCGTTCACATGCTCTAAATCTGAACCTTATCTGAGCTGGAGTTTGGCTAGCTCTCCTTGTTTCCATTTTCAGCTGTGCAAATAGGCAGAATTACATGAAGTCACACAAGAGATTCTGTCATTTAGAGACTTCCTAGTTCTATGGATCTAGAAGTTCTAGATAAGTAAAGGCAAATCAGTTAAGCTTTTGGATACTTATTCTAATTCTGAATCTTCTGAAATTTGCTCGGCTCTGTTGGTTTATCAACCTCTCGGAGTTCTAGAGCAGGTCAGATCTTTAAATTCCTATCTGAGATCCTTTAACTTTGAGGCTTGCTTGATAAGTAGCTCTGCAACATGATTCTAATGTTGCAACGTGCAATAAACAGAAACTAGTTTTCTAAACTTCTACCCCACATGCATGACCCCTTGCACCAAAAGTTGTATGTTTGCTGGAATGCTACTGTAGCCATGGCTTCCCTGGGACCCTTCTCACTATGGTCTGACTGTCTCTTAAGACTGTTCAATGGTGGACATTGGATGATTGGCAACAGTCCAGCTGTGTATGGTCTAAGAACTCTAAGGTAATGAACAGAGTGGAAGGAGTATAGCCCCTAGAAGGAAACAGAAGTGACTTGTAAAAGACATGTCTATCTTATTGACTTTCTTTTCCACTCCTGGCTTCCCAGTTCTTTTGGGAAGAGCTCTAAACCTGTGCTCAATCCAAGAGGGCGTGGGGTTTAGCTAATCTGTCCAGTGTGTGAGCCTGTCCCAAAACCTTTGGCACCTGGCACTTGAACAAGCAAGTAGTCCCATAAAGCCAAAATCTTTGACTCAGACTGCCCAGAACTTTTTTGTTTTAAATGAGGACCTGAGTTTGGCTCCCAAGAGAAAACAGGTCACCTGGCTTTTCAAAACCATGGGTGCCTAAGTAATCAAGGATCATTGTGAGTGTTCCCTCAAAACTTGAAGATAAGGCTGCTTATTTAAGTGTCTTTTGGGCCTCAGTGACCTCAGTATTGGTGTAATCGCCTGTCTACCTGGAGATCTGCTGAATTTACTGGGGCTTCACTGAGATAAAGTGGGTTGCATGTACTGGATTGGGTCTTAATCATTGATTTGAATATAGTTTTAGAAAATCTTAGCTTTCAGAGACTCAGTGATTGCTTGGGTTTCATTAACGTTTCCTTGCCAATCACAGATGGACAATGACTGTTTCAGAATGTGAATGTGGTTTAGGTATGTACGCAGCTGGAAATGTAAAACTCCCTTGAGCCTGACACCCCACAACCAGCAACTTCTACCATATGCAAAGAGTCTATGGAATTTTTGTAAGCTCAAGACTGTTTCCACTGGAGAAAAACTTCAGAGAACAAGGACACAGAACAAGTAGCAGCACACAAATATCTGTCCATAGCCCAGAAAAGAGGTTTCACACCAAATGCTAAGCATACCTGTTATTCCTGTTGCTGTGACCAGTAATTATGCTTGTGATATGTAGCTTTGTTTTTAAGCACACTCTAGATTGGAGAGCAAAGCCATACAGAGCCAAACATGCCACTCTTCAACAAACCTTTCTCTACCTCCCTACTTTCTACTCTTCCTCTTCCTTCCATGACACAGCCTGGAAAATATAGGTGCATCCCAGGTCTTGTGGTTTAGGGTCTAGTAATGTTCTTCTCTGAAACAAGAAAGTGCAGGAGATTAGAAAGAGACCCTGCTGCCTTTGCCCAGTTGACAGCTTTTCAGTGGTGGAAACAAAGTATGAGCTCCCTCTTTTTCCCCTTTTAATTTAACTAAAGGGATGTTGTCAGGTAACAAGCCAAAGGTCTGCCTGAGCCTAGCAGACCTTCAAGGTTAAAGCACAACAGTTTCCATAACCATGGGCACACAAGTGATGCGGCCAGAATCTTATCTGGCTGACTCTACCCCGCCAAACTGAATGACCAGGTGCCCAATTACACAGCTGAGTTAAATGTGAGGGGCTTCACTGCTAATCCTGACAGGGCTTGCATTCACATGTCTAGAGAATGTAGGAAGACAGACCCTCCCTGCTCTGCTACCACTGCCCAATATCATTTGGAGGTCTTAAATTCCATTTATAAGGTCACTGACCATAGCTAAGGCTGGCCCTGCTATTCCACTCAGTCATACCAATAGCCAGATTTGGAGTCAGGCAGGAATTTTTCCTGTATGTTAGAGGCACAGATTATGAGATTTTTGCCTTCCACTGTAGTGTGGGGTTCAGATCTTTTCCCAGGTTTGTTTAAGTATATACTGAGCAAGTACTTCCCTGCCATTGCTGGGACAGGGCATTTTATACGTGGTTGGTTTGTTTTGTTTTGTGATGGTGTTGCTGATCCTGTTCCTTGTAGCTTTAAGTGAGGGTTTGAAGTAGTGATTTTCATTCTGGGAGGAGGAGAAGGTGTAATTCCTAGACTGCCTGCAACTGCAGGAGACTAGACTTGATATCCTAGAAAGCCTCTTTCTCACCCATTGACTCCTCAATCTACATTTTCACTGACTACCTGTCTTGTACGCATACCAGCCCAGCTGCTGGCTTCTTCACTTTTCATTCCATCCAGCAAGAGCGCACACCAACTGCTGAAACTTCCTTAGCCTGACGAAGGGTTTTTGAACCTGAAAGCTTGCTTAATAATTATTTTCCAACTATTTGGGTTGGTCTAATAAAAGATATCAGATTCACCCAAGGAACCTTGTCTGCCTCTTCCCAACCTTGTGTTCCTACAAATGGGTTCTTGAACTTGATGTAGGAATTTCTGGGAGAAATTCTCTGGCTTCTGCTATGCAGCCCCTCTCCCCTGGTCATTTTCTTACCTTGTTCCATTCCATCCAGATTATCAGAGAGGCCAGATGTTTTCATTCTTTGTGCTGTGCCCCAGCACTATCATAGAGTTCCTTTCTGTCTTCCTCAGATCTGAAGACATAATATCTGGCCTAAACAAATGGAAAAATGCTATTAATGTTTATAGCACTTGGAACACATGGTGGCATGCTTTTGCACATGTTACCTAGTGTGCAGGCACACACACCTGAGCTACACCCAGCTCTATTATTTCCTCCCGCCTAAATTTCCAAAGCTGAGGCTTTCACAATATTTGGAGCAGCTTCCAAAAAGGGAGAGCTATAATATGCATTGCTTAGCACTGAGTCCCAGCATAACAGAAAGAACTGTGAAAATATGGCTCTCTATGAGAATAAGCAGTGTTTAACCCCCAGAGGTTGGTGGGTGGTGGGGAAATTACAGGGAGAGTCGCCTTTTAAAAATCTAGCACTTTTTAGTGGGTAGGAAATAAGGTGTTGAGAAACAAGGTCAATTATCTGTGCTAAGGAAGGGTAGATTAGCACCTTAGACCTTTATAGAATAGTGTGCTATTCAGGAAGTTTGTCCTGCTTCCATGTCAAGTCCAGGGCTGCTGGTGAGAAGCAGGACCTGCCCATATGCTCCTGCACTGCGTATGCCCATTCCTGGATGTGAGGCAATGTAGATGCCTCAGAATGATCCGGTGTCCTCTTCCCAGTGGCACTTTCAGGCACACTCATCAACACACACTCAAAGCTGCTCTATGGCTACTCCATTGCCTTGTTCCAACAGAAGCCCACTCCCATTGACTGCAACATAGACAAACTCTTATTTCTGAATCTAAAACACACTGCAAGTCTATGGAAGGATTCCCTTTGATTTTAGTGAGCTTTAGATTAGGCCCTGTGAGCTAGTAAAAGATAAAGTGTAGAGCTTGCCAAAATACTTTTAATCACATTTTACGGTGATTTTAAAAAAATCCTTTCTTGCAAATAGAGTTTTTGCCACTAAGGAATTATTTGTGAGTTTCTAAATCCAAAATAATGAAAAGGTTACAGATAATGGGTCATTGCTGAAAATCACCATTTGGATATCTGATATAAAGATTTTGCTTAAATTGTAAAGTGTAAATGTAAAATTAATCTGTTTTTAAAATCTTTAAAATGAGCACAATGATTTCCTACTTCATTTTACTGAAGTTGGTTATTTTCATTCATATCTTGCCACAGAGACTAGGTTCCCATATGAGCAGGAGCATAAAGTATCACACAGGGGCTGTTCCCAGGGTCATTCCCAACCTCTGGCTGTGTGCCGCCATAACTGGGAGGTCAATTTGTATGGAACCACATAGACCACCCCAGCTCGTTCTCCACAATGTAGCCATTTTTTTTGGTTGTTACCAAAGAGTGAGGAATTAGGACTAACACCCTAGCAAACAAAGAGGTTTTAACAACCCCAACTCAGCCTAGTCCTACTGAGCTACATTAGCAGTACATCTCTATGTATACATATATGGAGAAATCCTAAGTGATGAGGTTGTAAAAGACCATGGGGTTCCTGATCCCTCAGAACTTCACAGCTCATATTCATCGCTAGAAAGAATTAGCAAGGGGGGAACCAAGAACATGTTTTGTTTATAGAGGTCCTTCAGAAAAGCTCAGATCTTTCTGGGAACTGTCTGGGTGGGTCCACTGCTTTTCATATATATGACTGCTTGTGGGATATAGCCAAAACTAGAAACACGTAGTGGGAGATCAGTCATAAGTAAAACTGTCTTTATGGTATATCTAGCTCCTCCAGCAGCAAGAAGCATTAGGAATAGCGGGCGCATCTAAATATGCGCCCGACTGCACAGTTGTTACTGTGCCGTTATTTAGTACTTGCTTTAGCAAGTACAGCAAGTACTAAATGACTACATAGTAACTGGCATTACTTGGCACCACATGGGTCGTTTCTGACCCTACTGCACTGTAGCAACAAGCTACTGCACAAAAAATTGGAAAGGGTCCAGAGAAGATCAGGGACTTGCCAAACAAGTCGTATGAGGAGAGGCTGAGGGACTTGGGCCTCTTCAGCCTATAGAAGAGAAGGCTGAGGGGACTTGGTAGCAGCTTACCGCTACATCAGGGGAGTACATCAAGAACTTGGTGAACAGCTGTTAACCAGGGCACCCCCGGGGAAGACCAGGAGCAATGGATACAAACTCCTGGAAGGCCGCTTCAGGCTTAATTCCAGGAAAACCTCCTTCACAGGGTGTCCAGACTGTGGAATAAACTCCCTCCAGTGGTGGTGCAATCACCTACCCTGGAAATCTCCAAAAGGAGACTTGACAGTCACCTCACTGGGGCCACTTGACCCCAGTTGTCTTTTCCTGTCAAGTGCAGGGGAACTGGACCCAATGATCTATAAGGTCCCTTCCAGCCCCTAACAATCTATGAATCTATGAATGAGGGGAGAACTTGGATGAAGTCACAGACCACTCTCAAAACCTCATGCTCTGATACCAGGCCAATGGAAGGGTAGCAAAAATACAGAGGCAGATTCCCAAAGCATTTCCAGTCTGACTCTTGCATCCAGGACTCAGCTCTCACCATAAGATCTGAAATACCACCAGAATGCTTGTCTGTTGCCTAGAGCCAATTCTTGACGTTCTGAAGTTCATTCATTGCTTAAGAAAATCTTTAAAACAGTAAGATCAGCCCAAGGGAAACAGGTTGGGAAAGACCTCTTCTCTCAAACTAGGGACAGACATTCAAAAAGCTGGAGCCTGAATTGATTTAATCTTTTCAAGTGAATCTAACCTGTGTAGAATATGAACCAATTTGCAAGTGAACAGACATTCACTTTTGACTCTGGATGCAGGTCAATGCCTGCAGTGGCTCAGGCCAGAAGCTGCAGGGCACTAGAGCAAGCCCTCAGCTGGAGGGGAACTAACCTAAGGGAAAGGACATGGCCAGGCCTGCAGGGACCCCAGCCAGAGTCTGCGTGGAGTGGGGAAGCTGCCTCTGTCAGGGGTCCCCACCCCCCACCCCCACTCACTTGCTGGCTGGCAGCAAGAGTGGGTGCATGGCCAGACCCCAGTAGCCTGAGAGGAAGCATAGATTTAATACTTCTATTGCAGAGGTGGCGGTGATTGTGTATCCAGGACCATGGCAGCCAGACTCCAGTAGCCTGAAGGAGAAGGGGGGAGGGTTTAATCCCCCCATTGCAGTCAGCAGTGGCATGGGCACAAACGCGGTGCCCTGGGCCGAGTCCCTCCAAGGAGTGGCCAGCCAGCCACTTATCGCTGCCTCTGGCTGCGGCAGTGCAATCCAGGCTGGGGCGGCTACAGGGACCAAGGGTCAGCACCTGCCGTCTCCCATCTCCAGCCCCACATGGGGGCCGCAGTTTGCAGCTGGGCTGTAGCTGCAGTGCAGCTTCCCACCACCATTGCCTCCCAGTGGTGGCAGAGCAAATTATCATGGCAGGCAGAGGTGAAGCATCTGTCACCCGCCGCCTGCTCGGGGTGGGCTGCTGCAGGCCAAGGGCATGAGCAGTGGTGGGGGGAGGCAATGAAGTGCCATAATCCGGTCTGACCTGGCCCTGCAGCCCAGGAGTGCAGCCCGGTCCAATCCAGCCGAGCCTGCAGCCCAAGGCATAGGCAGCAACTGGTCCACTACAGTCCACCCCAAACACCCAGGTGCTGCCATGAGCAGGCAGCAGCTGACAGGTACCTTGCCTCTGTCCACTGTGATGGTTTGCTCCACCACCACCACCTGGAGAGGGAGGGGTAAGCTACTGTGGGTCAGTCACTGCCTATGCCCCTGAGCCGTAGGGTCGGACCAGACTGGGCTGCAGTCCTGGGCCGCGGGGCTGGGCTGGGCTGGACGAGACTGTGGAGGTCCATTGCCTCCCCCCACCACTGCCCATGCCTCTGCCCCACAGCAGCCTACCCTGAGTGCCCAGTGCCATCACAAGCAGGCAGCGAGTGACAGTGCTTCACCTCTACCTACTGTGATAGTTTGCTCCACCACTGCTGGGAGAGGGTGGTGGCAGAGGCAATGTGTAGGGGGTGCACATGGGTGCACGTGCACCCCCTGAGCATGGTGGTGCACCCCCTGCAAAAAGGCACCGCTGACACTGTTGGCAGTGCCTGCGGGCAGTCCCCACTTGCCACCCCTCCACCAACACTGCTGGCTGCATCTGGATGCCGAATGCTGGTCAACGTTCACACACACACACACACACACACCCCCTGCTGCCGCCAGTGCCACCGCCGGCTGCAGGAGCTTCCTGCTTGCTACTGCTGTGCTCCTGCCACCGCCGTGCTCCCACTGCCGCCAGCACAGCTGTGCTCCCTCCCCCGCCGGGGGCAGGGAGCCACACTGCAGCTACGGCCTACCTGCAAACCATGGACCCCACATAGGGCTGGAGGTGGGAGGCAGCAGGTGCTGACCCCCACCCAACTGCGGCTGCCCCACCCCCTGCAGCCAGGTCACATCCCCCCTCCCCCCTGTGCCCACACTACCACCCAACCCCCTGCAATGGGGGGATTTAAACTCCTGCTTCCCTTCAGGCTACCGGGGTCTGGCCTGCTTCTGCCACTGGAGCAGAAAGGGGGGTGGGGGGCTGGGAACACCTGGCACAGGCTGCTGTCCCCTTGCCAGGCAGACCTGGCAACACTCCAGAACAGGGTTTCCCACCCCCATCCCTTTCTCAGCCAGCCAGAGCAGTGACAGTGCTCTGGCTAGGGAGGAGGGGGAGGGGCCAACCCTGCTTGGCTGGAACAGGCAGCCCAGCCCAGCCCAGCCCAGCCCAGGCCTGCAGAACATGATGGGATGCTGGAAGACTCTGATTTAACTTAAACCAGGAAGCGGTCTGGGACAGAAGTTCCATAAACTGGCTTGACCTCAATTGGTTAAGTGTGATACTACATTCAACCAGATTTATCTCAAACCAGTTTTGGCCATTTTGAGAGTGGTTTATGTGCACTGAACGTATGTTCCGTTACAGGTTTAAACCAGTTTCTGATCACTTAAACCAGCTGATGTGTAATATCTGTCCCTAGCTTCAATAGACAACTAGGCTGGAATAAGTTCTTTGTCCAGGGGCCACTAAATGATACTTTTGGGGGTGAAATGTATCCCTTTTGAGGGCCGTATCCAGGTCTGTGCACTTCTGCAGGTCCTCTGCATAGGGGTGAACACTGTTCTGTATGAAGGAAGAGTCAGTATGAAAATTGCAAATAAAAAATATTGTCCTGTTTAAAACAGTGCAAGGCAAATCGCTATTGCCTGTGGCTGTTGTTTAACTTGGCAGGAGCCCATTTCTCGCTGTGTTCAGCCTCAGGTTCTTTATCTAATATATGAATACTTTTGTGGATGTTAAAAAAAACACCCTTGAGCACATCATTCATTGTAACCCACACGGGAGTATGGAAAGGGATTTGCTTTTGACCTAGTTATAAAAAGAAAAAACAAAAGAGACTTTTTTCTAATTGCCTGAATTACTCAAATGGGACTGAGTAAAAAAAAAAAGCAAACAGTAATGCATCTTGACTTCTCTCAGGTTTATATGTTAATAAATAAATGTTGACTCTGTGGGTACTCCAGGGCTCAAGCACCCACCAAAAAAAATTAACAGGTGCTCAGCACCCACGAGACACACCACGGCTGTTTTGGCACAGGCTGTTTGGAGACGTTAAAAAAATAAATAAATAAAAAAGCGCTTCACTGGAAGAAGCAGCGCATTACTTCAACCTGGCTCTGGAGTGTCTGTAAAGATCAGGCACCTCAGTGGGGCTTTTTGGCACTTTTAGCTAAAGCTGATACCAACAGCTATTAGATAAAAGCACCTAAAAGCCCCACTAAAGTGCCTGATCTTTACAGATGCTGCAGAGCCGGGTTGAAGTAACATACTGCCTCTTCTGGGCTTGCACTGGGCTTGGCATGGAAATTCACTAAGTTTAACATAAAGTGCCAGTTTTGTTGTTTTTTCACATCTGCAAGCACCCACCAGCAAAAAACAAATTTTGCACCTATGCATTGATAGATGGAAATAGGCTCCACCTGAGCTTATTTCAGTTCAATACCACAGGAGTAGTACTCGAGGTACCAAGGAAGATTAGGTTCATATAATCACTGTCCTACTGTAGCTAATGGTCTGATACTGGAGATCAGATTGGGGCTGAAGCCCAGAATTTCATCAGAGATGCAGGCACCTACACTTTACAAATATAACAAGGCTTGTGGTCCTAAATGCTGGTGTGGTCATGGCCCCATACAGCCAACAACAGGAGAAGCTCCTCCTTTACTTTTGAATCCAGGTTACTAATCTTTTGTCTTCCCCATGTCAACTCCTCTCCTACCATGGGGATGACACAGCACTTCATGCAGCAGCACCTGCACAGGACCCCTAAGGACCCCTTGCAAGGACCCCTAAGGCCTGAGGTTTCACAGGGGCCAATGGATCAACTGCAGTGTGCCTTTGCTCTTTTAGGTGCTATTGAAACTCTCTATGTAAACACACATTTGCTCCACCTTCTGTCTGATGGGGAATTTAATCGTGGCAGAAAGAAAGAAGAATCAAAGCATGGAAGCAAGCTAAAGAGGAAAAGATATGAAATAAAGGTGAGGGCCGGAAGTTGGGGGAGAGAGGTAGCGGAGGTTTATGTGTGCAAACTTCAACTCTGAGATTTCTGGTGCCACTTCCTGCACTTCCACTGGGTTCCAGCTAGAGCCATTAGGAACAAAAGCAATTCTACAATGAGTGCGGCTCTCAGTTGGGCCCACTCCCTTCAGCAGTACTATACCATTTTACCCATTTGAAGCACAGACCCGTAGTACTCATTTCTCCAGCCCTTACATCCTGTAGAGAGTAGGGGAAAGGCTCAGAAGGAGCTTACAGCCCTAAATAGATTGGCAGAGAGCTTTTCTGAATCCCAGGTAAAGTCTGAGTTTAGGCCAGGTTTAAAGCAAAGTTTCTAAATAGCTTGTATTTTCTTCCCAGTTGGATTGCTTATGCCACCATCTATTTTAAATGAACTGTTTGATCTCTCTCTGTTTTGTATTTCTTTCACTTTCCCAAACAATAGCAGGAAGCTGGCCTGTTACGTGTATTTGGTCTTAAATCAAGTTTGTGTTCCTCCCTCCCCCAGCTGGGAAAATCACCCTAATAGCTGACGGACAGTTTTCCAGCTGTAACTACACAGAACCAATTTGAACACGTATTTTGTAAAATTGTAACACTACCTATGGGAATGATGGGACATTCCTGAATTATTAAGGCACTGTTCCCTGACTAAAAATTGAAAAAAGCCTACGCTTAGTATAGCTATTGCCTCCAATGGTAGTAAAACCCCAGCTGAACAAACATAGCTTGGTTGCACAGTTTCATGTCATGCTCCTGCTGTAGTGAGTATGTAAGCATTACCTAGTTATAAATACAAAGCACCAGAGATCTCTGAAACAGCTGGGAGGCCTTTACAAGATAACAGAGAATATCTGTACAGGGGGTGACTGGAAATGGACAGTCTTGGAAACACACATATACTCAGGATATGAGTATATACTGAGTATACTCAGGAAAATGTTAAGTAAATAGGTGATCATTATTCCCCCCAATGGGAGATGTACAGAGGAACATAGAGATGTATAGATGTCAGTGTATAGATTGATGGTAAAGCTAAGGAGAGTCTTAAAACAAAAACTGGGGTATGGAGGGAATCCAAACTGGTCATGGCCAGTCACTGTCTGTTGCTTTGAGGTGAACTGCCCAAGAGTCTTAAATTTTGTGAAGAGAAAGAAGGTATTTTTGTACTGAACTTTAGTATTAGCTAGTGCTGTTCACTCAGTGGGGCTAATAACTTCTACAGACCTAGTGGCATCTTAAATCACCAGGACAACAGACATTATTAATAGCTTGTGTGTGCACCAGAGCAGCAGCAAACAATGAGGATGAGTGGTCTTGGCTAAGACAAGTACTCTCCCCTCCATCAGTAGTCTCAGACAAATGTTTACGCTTCTTTACTACCTCTTCCAAACACTCCTGTAAACATCCCACTTGCATCTGGTGCCATACCTGTAGAGCTGTGGGCAGGACCTTTTCAGAGCAGCTGAAGACAGCTCCAATTTGCTCTGGTTCCGCAGCCTCGTCTTCTTCATGAGATCCCTCACTCTGCCCCAAGCATGGCCTTCACCCTACATCATGAAAGCAAAACCATGATTTATGTGGCAAGGAAATCTGGGATGATGCTGAGGGAATGCCCCTGTCCTGTGATATGGAGGTGACTTCTGCTTAAAAGAGCAAGCTATCCAAAATCTCATCACCACCCTAGATACCACTACAAGACTGTTATTTTCTGGTCCCTTCTTCAGCCCAGATTCTATTTGTTTGGTTAGTTTTGGTTTTAGCTCAGTCTAGTTTCAGGTCAAGACAATAGAATTCTAACAGCTGCTGGTGGAAATTATTTCACAGATTCTGAGGATAGGAAATTAGTCCCCTAGTATTAACCCTGCACTTGTGATCAGAGCCAGTTACAGGGGTGAGCAGCCAGGGCATTGCCCAGAGCTCCAGGCCAGAGGAGACACCACTAGCCTAAGTCAGGTCATATCTACTGAGGAGCAATGCAAGTCATTCGGTGTATGGGTGATGGCAGGGAGGGACCTATTTCTTAGCATCTGTCCAGAACTCCCCTACAAATCCAATGCCAGATCTGATTGTGTTTATTAAGAGCTTGAGCCTAACATGGAAAGAGGGGGAGAGAGGGATGTAACATTGCTGTGCTTATGAGAGGTCTTTCTGAGTTAAAATTTAAGAGACTGACAGCAATTTGGTGAATGCTGCTGGTAGCTACCTAAAGGCACATTTAACCTAATTGTTTTACTGTATTAAGGAACAGGCTGATCTGATTTCCTACATCCTTACATCTACCCAAGGTGTTGCTTACAAAAAAATTCCCCCTAAAAATAACAGCCTAGCTTTCCTTGCTAAGTTTCAGTTACGTTGTTGTAACTCTCATTTCCACAAAACTGCTTTTTAGTTGACACCAAAGTCAAGGAGCGGTCACTGAGAAACACAAGATTTTTTTCCTGTAACATCAGCAAAATCCCACCCAGTGGATATCACCATTTGAAACATTAATCACAGTCCATTCTTATTTTCCACAACTCAGAGAAACTCATTAGTGCCTTCTAATGTTCCACCTGGGACTCAACTCATCCTAAGAAGTTCAAAAGGGATGTGATTCAAGAGCCTTCATGTTAAATGCTGCATTGTTTTGGAAATCCTGGAGTGAATGTTTGGTAGGAGACCATTGGAAAAGAATTAAAAATAATTTTCCCATGTTAAGGTAATGATGTATATTTAGCTGAGGTTTTTTTCCAAGCCATTTGCATTACCATAATGAACTTCATTCAGAAAGCTCCTAAAGTTCCTTACTATGTTAACAGAGTGAAGAAATCACCCTTACCTCCCACTGAACTGCAACCACCTCTGGAATAGAAGCTGGCAGCTGTTCAACAGCCAAACACCTATGCTGCACAAGCTTATGATGGCTGGGAGACATAATTTTTAGACTCTAGTGAGTTTTCATCCCAAGGCCTTCATGTATCATAAAATCAGATGAAGACTGAAATATTGGTTTTAATGGTAGGAAGTAAATTGTCCTTACCTAACACCATGTCCAGGCTAAAATATCAAATCTTTATATTGTTGTTGTTGTTATTATTAGTTTATTTTGTGGAAGGGCCTGACATCCTTATGCAGTTTGATCCTCCTCCCCCCACCCCAGCCACCCATGTAAGATACTGATGTGGTTTATGAAAAGCTATGCCCACTTTAACAGAAAGCCCCAATATAAGGCTTGGCTTAGGATGCTTGGGATCATGCCGCTGCCTGTAGTTAATATGGGAGGGCAATTGATCCACCTGCAATGAAGAACACCAAGAAGGGTTACAATGTATAAAGAAGACTAGGGTACCACTAGCTCTGTTACTTAGACTGTAGTTATTTGGAGCTGGTACCATATTTTTGTTCTGTGATTGTATAGAGTCTGACATTCTGGAATCCAAGATCATCACCAGGACTATGAGGTGTTTCCATAATAATAATAGAGAGATCATGTCAGTGGGAACTAGATCTAACAAAATCCATACTTACTGAGATGGCCTTGCTGACATCAGAACCCTATAAAGGCAAAGTGGGTTCCTAGTTAACATGGATGGGATGATCATGTGGTTAGACACTAGATTGGATTTCCTTCCTAACTCTCACTGGGCACATACATGTGCAATGAATGTGCCTGAATAAACACTGGTGCAGTTTACACCAGAGTTTATTGCTCCCAGGTCCACATTTACATGTTCGTCCAGAGTGCAGCACATTGAGCCAGGGCAGTGCAGCCTCAGATGGCTGGAGGCCTGGAAGGTCAGCCTGCCAGCCCGGAGCCATTCCACCCCAGCTCAACATACTGCAGAGGGGTGGCTGAGGCACGAGGGTGCTACAGTTCTGGGCTAGCCAGCCGGCAGCCCTACAGTGTAGCACCCTTGTGCCCCAGCCAGCCCCAATCACCATCTACAAATGCATTGTAGCAAGGTAAATAACTCCACCATAGTACTTGTGTCAGGTAGTACTAACCTATGGTGCAGTTAATTAGTTTACTCTGGCCTAATAGCTGCATGTGTGTAAATGGTGACACTTTAATGAAGAGCTCATTAGGCAGCTCTGCAGTAAGCATCTCATGTAGATTCTCCCACAGGCTCCTTGCTTTACCTTGCTCAAGTCCCTTAGTCTCTTTATAGCTCAGTCCCCTTCTATAACCTGAGGATAATGACCCTTTCTTTTCCCTATCCTTCTTATGTCTCATCTGTAATGCGAACAGCACAGTATTATCATAATGACACCTTGATCTTGGTTAAGGTCCGTGGCCACTGCCATAATACAAATATGGTTGTATCCCCCAGCTATATTTCTGTGCTTAAAGTTAAGCATGTGCCTAAACTTTGGCTGGATCCCTGAAGCTCATCCAAATAATCTGAATCTCTGGAGTCTGCAACACTAGTCTGGGAAGTCCATGAGAATGGTCTTTCTCACAAGATTCCACTTCTTCCTCTTTCCTGTCAAGCTGTAAATACTATGATTACAGACTGTAGTCTTTCTGATCTTCCCCCAGAACCAGAAAGCACAGAGGCAGTTGCAAACAATGGAGAAGAATAAGAGAGGAAGAGTGTTCACCTAAACTCTGTCAGGCTGAAGTAAGTTAGTTTCCCTCCCATATGCATTGGGGTGCAGGCTGGTTATGCCAACATGCTCCAGGTCAGCCTCAACTGCATCAAACTCCATGTCCACGCAGCAAACCCCCTTCAGGCCCCTGGATAGGCCCTCTAGTTGCTAGCACATGATAAAGCCTGTGCTGCTGTGTCTTCACTGCAATTGTTACCTGTCTGGCTAAATCAAGCTAGTGCACAAATGCCAGCACATGCTACAATCCCACTTGCATGTTGCTTTGGAGACACACCCAATGTGTTCATTTAGGCTTTGATCATGAGAAGTACTAATCACCCAGAACTGTCACTGAACCCCACCAACATCCTTCCAGTTGTCAGCAGCTTTCAAGATCAGCCCCTAAGCTTGAACCATGTCTGAATCCCCAGGCTGATCTCATGCCATTTTGCTGCACAGCACTGATCTTTTTATCTCAGCCCTGTCATTAGGGCCTGCTCATTGTTTCTGCCTCTGAGTTTCTCTCTCACCTTTTTCATAGCTTGGTCTTTTAATGCTTGTACATCAGTTACATTATAAGAATCTCTGAACTCATTCTCCTCTCTACTCCGTTTACTTGATGATTTCCTGAGCCCAGTCACCAGCTGACTGTTTCCAGATTCCAGGTGTCTGTCACTTCCTGCAATTGAATGCACAGACTTAGTCACAGTTCACAAAGTGGCTGGGTATGGACTCCTCTGGGCAGTGCTGTCTACAGGTGGTGACCTGCCAACCCATATGAGAACTCCGGTTGATGTTCTTTCCCACTTGAAGTACCTGAGCCCTGGTCTTACCACAAATAGCTGAGGCTGCAGTCTCCAATAGAAAGAGGTGTTGTGTTAAAGTCAAGTAGATCTCCATAGCACTGGCCCCTCTCCATCCCTCATAGGGGACTTATATTCACATGATACAAGGAGCAAAATCGTGGTCCCTTTGAAATCAATGACAAAATTCCTATTGGCCACAGTAGGGTCAGGATTTCATTCAAGGTGTGTCATACACGACAGACACCAACAGTAATGCCTGCAACACCCAGTTTGTGTATGGACATGATCAGAGATGACCCTAGCAGGGTGTGAGGCCCGGTGTAAATCAGTTTGTGCGGGGCCTGGACACGAAGAAGCTGGTGGCGGCCAGATGCGAAGCCGGTGACAGCAGTGGCGGCACAGAGTCACCAGCATTAAGCGTGCCCTGCAGGAGGGGCCGCAGCTGCTCTGCCCAGCTCTGCGGGGCCCTCTAAATCCCTGATTCGCCCCCCTCCCCCAGGTATGGCCCTGGACATGATACCTCTTTCCAATGAGATGTATGACCAGGACAAGCTTTCTAATGAGCTTCTCAATAGCATTTTTGGCACTCTTGGTCATAGTCTGAAACCACAAGTTGGGAACTGAAGGGGAAAAGCTACTGAAGCATTCCATAACCTTAACCTTAGAGACAGGCCTCAAGAGAACCCCTTGACAGTCTACACCATTTACAATCTGTCTGACTATATCTGAGGAAGCTTGTTTTTGCTGTATATGTCCCTGTGTCTAGGAGACAGGGCTAAATCTAACCACGCTCTTTCAACATGTGGGCCAGTTTGTATCCAAACTTCCCAGCTGGTTGTATCCTTTATGACAGATCTAGACTCAACCCTCCAAACTTCTGGGAAAATCTGCACTGGAATAGAAAATTTGCAGCTGAGGTTTATCTCCATCTTGCTTATAGAATACGTTGCACCCAAGGTACATGTTCTATGCCTGTTTGAGATGGTAGGATGCTTAGCTCAAATCACATCTTGTTTGGGGATCTTAAAGCATTGATAAGGAACTAATATACTCACTGGGCAATGGCAAATTCCCACCAGAGATGCAGTCCCTCCAGCTATGTCTACACTAGGAATAGAGCTATGTTTAAACACATTAACTAACCCATGTAAAAAGCCTTGTGTACTTTTAACATATGTTATCTAGCTAAGGTGAACCACTAGCAACCCCATAGAATATACCTGGATGAGCTAATATGACTTAAAAACACATCTTTCCTTGTTTATACAAGGATTTTAACATGTATCTGTTACATTTACAGATGGTAAATATACTTCTTTTTCCTGCTAAAGGTGAGGCCAGTGACTCAGGGACTTCAGACCCCATAGATTTCAGATTGTTCCACTTTTAAGTGATCTCCATTGCCTTTGCATTTTACCTGTGTAAAATGAACACAAAGTGGGTATAACCCCCCTCCCCACCAACCAGATCTCACAGAGAAGCATTTTAAATTCATTTTGCATAAGCACTAATGATCACCAAAGGTGTATGGCAATAGAAAATCAGGGAACTCATTTTCAGCTAGAGCCATCACTACTGAAATCTGTCAACGTCGGACCTGAAACCCACCTCTGTAGTTGCTCAGCTTTTCACTGTGGACTGCTATTTCTGGAATGATTGAAAGATCGGAGTGGTTTCCATTCTGAACCAAGAGACTATGTGGTCTGCTCCTCCCAGTAAAAAGTTTCTTCACCTCCTGGTACGAATTGAGCAAGATGCTGGCAGCTCCACAGGAGCAGTGCTGCAGAAAATACTCCTACACCAGAAAAGGAGAAAAATATGCAGGTTGTTACACTGTAATGGCTGAGTAGCTGAGCAATGAGATTGTATGGACAAATTGCAAGCATTCCAAACTGGTTCTTATCCCAAGACCTGTCAGGACTCAGACAAATGTATGTAAGTCTTTCAAAATGGCCTAGCAACTAGAAAGCTAGAGCTAAATTTCTCTGTAGCTTAGGATTTTATGCCCCAATGATTCTGGAATGAATTCATGTTTAAAAAATCAGTAGCTGGGGTTTTCAGCCAAGATAAATTGGGGTTTTCTTAAAACTGTAAAGTTAAAGCAGAACTGATGTTAAAACAGCCTCCTGTTGACACAAGCCAGGGGAATCAGTGGAGGAATAAGTTTTAATTAGCTTTCTTCAAAACTCTTTTCTGGGAGGCTTTGTTGGCTTTCCCTGCCTCTGTGTCCAGCTCCCCTGCACTGCAGTGCTCTAGAACACCACTAACATACAAAGAATCAGCAGCTGCATTTGATTTCTGGCCCCAGTTGAGAACATGGCCCTAGCCATATTGACCAGAAATGAGGCAGATCCAAAGCCCCATATCCAAATAGTTCCAAACTCTCAAAGATTTTCCAATCCAGCACTTGAATCCAGAGCTGCATTTTGCAAATGAGCCTTGTCTTTGTAATGCGTCAAGCCAAATCCAAAAAAAGAAAAAGTCACCTGAAATTTGGGTTCAAATGTTGTGAACTGAGTCAATCAGGAGTCCTGGGGTCTTCCTAGTGACTCAGAAAATTGAGGGGAGATCCAGATTTTGGGAAAGTTAAAATCATTTTGAAACAGCTTGTATACAAATTAGCTATGCTGGCTCCTATCCATTTTACTGCATTCCTGCCTTGGCTTTGTAGTCACCTTTTTTAAATGTGTTGGCTCCTTCTGTCTTGTGATCATTTCTGAAGACTAATCCCAATGGATTCTAATGTGCCTTTTACAGACGGCTCTATTTTCAGGTGTCTAGCTTAAGAAACTTAAATTTCACTACTCCAGATCCTCAGCTAGTATAAATCAGAGCAACTCTGTTGACTTCAGTGCCAAGTCACAACAGTGAAGGATCTGGCCCTTCATGATTTCAAGTATTTGCATCAGCACACCAAGAGTGACTTTCTTCTAAAATTTGTTTAATCTAGCAGCTGATCACTAAACAAGGGGGAAGATTTTGGGTGCTTTGAAAATACTGGTTTCTTCTAGAGACCTGGACATTGGAAGTGCTTGTATCAATGAATGATTTTTTGATCCATGCATCAGTACCACACTAAAAAAATATAGATACCTAAAGTGCCTGGTAATTAAGATATTTCAAGATTGCTTCCACAAATGAACTGCATACACATTTCTAAAAGTACAGCTGCTCAGCCAAGACACACGAAGCGTAAGTAAATGTATCCCATTATAACAGTGACTCGCAATTTAAGATAATATTATTTATTTAAGAACATATACAAACAATACAATTGTGTTTGTATTGTTGGGATGCCACAGACAGATTAAATGCTGCTAAGCAAATACACAGTATGTAGTATTCAGCCACTTGTCAAAGCAGTGGCATTTTAATTTCTTTAAATGTATGAGGTGTTTGTTTTTTTTATCAGTGCAAGGACATTTTGCACTTAAATGATTCCATGTAATTGGTCCATTCTTTACGCAGTACACTAAAGGCTTTGCTGATGTCAAGTGTGCAATATGTAGTTCTTCCTACAAGACCTCCATCCTTAGTATGGAATGGATGATTTTTTAACCGCACTCACCAGTGCTGCAAAGGAGTTTAGGACTGGAGGGTACATTATCCAATTGAAACTATGAAGGGCATAGAATTAGGTAGATTTTTGCTGGTGCTGGAATTTGACCAAGACATCCAAGTTAGCCACTTTTGAGACCCACAATAAATAGTCAGTACCTTCATTTAACCTTTTTTTCTGGTGGTTTCCCCACTAGCATTGTATCCTGTAAAGCCTCCAGCCTAGGGTGTTGCTTCACCAATTAGAAGAGATGATCTTGCTTACTTAGGCTGGGATTTTCAAACAGGACCCTAGGGAATTATCTGAAAATCAAAAGGCATTTTCTGCCGGCCTCCTTAGCTTCTTTTGAAAATTCTGGCCCTAATGGCATTCCCTAGAGCACCTGTTATGGTGGGTACATATCATGGAGGTCTTTCACCCAAGTCCTGATCTGCTCTGTGGCTGCTCAGGCAGTGAGATCACATAGGATCACAGTCAAAGGCAGGTAGCATTCTGATCTTGATACTTCTGTGGGAGATCTTTCTCTCTCTCTCTAGCTTTCCACAACTCCTCTCAGCAAAGCAGTACTTTGTAATATCAGAATACTTTCCATGCACTTGAATGACCCTCTAGGAAGGAGTTGCTGAGATCCATTACAATAAAAAGGAGCATCTCCAGTCCAAGATTTTCCAATCCCTTGCTCATTTAAGATACAATCCTATGAGATACAGAGTGCTCCCAACTCCCACTGAAGTCAATGGGACAGGTCCTCAGCTGGAGTAAATCAATACATTACTGTCAACTTCAGTGTCTAAGTCATGTAGGTGCTTTTATAAAGTGAGTCCAGAGAAATGCCTTGCACAAATGGAGAGAATAGTATTCCCTTACCTCACAGCGAGGCTGTGAGTATTAATACTGTAAGGATGCTGAGGTACTCAGATATTGAGAAACCATGGAACCTGAGAGAAATTATTTAATGTTGGTAAAGTGCTTTTAAAATTAAAAGAACTAGGTATTACTTGTGTGGTCTTAATACCCCAGGAATGGGTGCATGAAACTTGCAGACTGGGAACTTCTGCTAAGGCATCTTTGCAAACACATCCGAGGTAAAAATGTAAGGGTAGATCCTCAGCAAGTGAAATTCAGCAGAGCTCCTTCCATCTCAACTGGGGCAATTCCTATTTAAACCAGCTGAGGTTTTGGCCCCAAGGCTGCAGATTAGAAAGAAATTGATGCAAACAGTGACTCACAACTGGTAAAGCTTTCAGGAACTGTGTTAGCAATTCCCAGGCCCATGTAGGAGGTAGCATTCCTTTGAGTGTGAAATATGGGTATGTGGAAATGACGTGCTGGTTTGCAGCCTGATTCACAAGTCAGCAGTGACTTTATTTCTGAAAGGCAGTTGGACACCTATTTCAAGTGCAACAGGAACAGGAGAAGGAATAGCTCATGAGGATGTCACACAGTTCAAAGAACAAAGGAGCCACTGCAGGACTGATAAAAACAAATTGCTGAGTCCAACAAACCCCTTCTATTCCATTGCTAGTGATATGTTAATAAAAATGTTAATAAAAGTGTTGTTTAACACAGAGAAATGTAAAGTGCTCCCCCTGGGAAAAAATAATCCACAACACACTTACAGGCTTGGCAGTGCTGCGCTTGCCAGCACCACAACTGAAAAAGATCTGGGTGTCATGGCTGAAAACCAAATGAACATGAACCACCAATGCAATGCCATAACTGGCAGAGCTAATCAAACACTGGCATGCATCCACCAAGGCATCTCAAGCAGAGCAAAGGATGTCATCTTCTCGCTCTACTCAGCATAGGTCAGACCGCAACTGGAGTACTACATCCAGTTCTGGGCACCGCACTTCAAGAAGGATGTGCGGAAGCTGGAGAGAGCCTGAAGGCATGATTAGAAGCCTAGAGACCAGGGAATATGAGGAAAGGCTGAAAGACTTGGAGTTGTTCAGCCTGGAGAAGAGAAGACTCAGAAGAGACTTGTTGGCAGCCTATTCGTATACCAAGGGCGTACATCACGGATTGGGGGAGCATCTATTCACCAAGGCCCCCCAGGGGAGGACAAGAAATAATGGGCACAAACTGATTGAAGACCACTACAGGCTCAACAGCAGGAAAAACTTCTTTACAAGTTAAGTGCCGAGGGTTTGGAACAGGCTCCCCCCAGAGGTGGTACAGCCACCCGCCCTGGCGATGTTCAAGAGACAACTTGACACCCATCTTGCTGCGGCCGTCTAATCCCAACAGTCTTTCCTGCCCAAGTGCAGGAGGGCTGGACCTGATGATCTGTAAGGTCCCCTTACTTGAGTTGATGGCATTGACAAGGCAACCTGAGCCAATTGGTACAGCTCACATCTAGATATTTTCTGAGTCTCCCAGTATTTCAAAATATTTACATCTTTATTCAATCGTGGCTCATCCACAAATGAGTCCAGAAATGGACCGATCCTGTTTCACTGGGTGCCAGAAGATCGTGATTCTTGCCGCTTCAAGTTCTCTCTTGACTGAAGGAATGATTCTTCATCAGCATTTTCTGTGTGTGTAGTATGCAGATTAGAGTCAAATGATGATTCTACATTCATGCCATTGCCATGAACGACAGTTCTCATCCTCTGCCATGTTGACATGAGATGACACTTGGCTTTAGTTCTATCCATGTCAGACAACAGCAATTGATACCTAGCATCCAGGTATATAGCTGCAAGTATCACCTCATTTTCAAAAAGATATTTTTCACGTTTTTTCATGCTGCCTACTAACTTGCTAGAAAACTGTGTTGCTACTTTTGAGATTTCCAGCTGACCCTTCCACCATGTCCCATAGAAATCCCCTATGGTACGCTGTGACACTCCTACTGATCCAACCAGATCTAGACCCAGCCCTCCAATTGTTTAAAGAAGGCCTTGTTCACCTCCTCTCGTCTTGGTTTGATAGCTTGTAACAGATGCCCACCATAACTTCCCCTCTGCTACTGTCCTTTCTGATCTTTATCCAGAGGCTGTCAGCAGGCCTACCTTCCACTTTGTACAGTACCTCAGAACACCGACACTTCTACTGATCCAACCAGATCTAGACCCAGCCCTCCAATTGTTTAAAGAAGGCCTTGTTCACCTCCTCTCGTCTTGGTTTGATAGCTTGTAACAGATGCCCACCATAACTTCCCCTCTGCTACTGTCCTTTCTGATCTTTATCCAGAGGCTGTCAGCAGGCCTACCTTCCACTTTGTACAGTACCTCAGAACACCTATACATCTCCTTTGAATATACAGCAACACCTCCTCCTTTTTCCCCACCATCTATCTTTCCTGAATAAGCTATAGCCACTCATAACCCTACTGCAGTCATGCAAACTATCCCACTACGTCTCTGTAATCCCAATTATATCAGAACTCTATGATCAAACTAGGACCTCTAATCATTCCTGTTTGTTCCCCATTCTTCTTGCATTAGTATATAAACACTTCAGGTATCTAACTGAAAAAGATTTTAAAAAACCTTTTGATGACATTTTCCCAGATGTTTGGCATCTGAACATCAAAATCAATTTGGCTTGTGACAACTGAAAACTGAAAGGCTTTGGCTTAGGACAGAACTTTTATTTGAATTTTTAATTTTTGTTTAAACCCTACATTTCTAAGAAAATGGAAATTTTTCCCCATTTTGTCAAATGGTTTCACAGCTTAGTCAAAAAGCCATTTTTCACAGAAAAAAATTCATCCAATGTTATCCAAAATTTGGATGAAAAATTTCCAACAAGTTTTACCAAGTATTAGTGCTAAATAATAATTAGTTTTGTTCTGTACTACTATACAAGATTTTGTGTCCAAGTTAAAAATCCATTCTCTGAGGGATGGCCTTAAAAGGGATTTAGATGGATGAGCGACATTGATTTTCTTCTTGACTAGAGGATGAGCTAGCAGGCTACAGCTACTTCGTCTTGCAACTGCTATTAAGTGGGCAGTTTAGGATTATACTCAGACATCAAAATGCCAGGTAGCAAAAGCAATCTTAATGGCTGTCAGTCCCCGAGTTCGGCTTTGTCTAACCAAAGCATCTAATAGAACTATGTGTGAGTCTCAGCTTCCATTTTGTGGGAAATTCCTTGACTTTGTTTTCATGCTGAATCAGAATGGAAATTCCAAGAAATCTCTTAGTTGCCTGTTAAATAAACTTTAAAATATATATGTGCAGTCAAAATGTTCTGTCTGATAAAATTGGGAGGTTGGGGGAGGTTGTTTTAGAAAACTTTCAACTAGACCTAGGAAAAGATCAAAGCTGCTGGCCATAACTGTCCAGGCAATTAGAAAAAAAGGAGCCAACTTCAATTAATACCAAGATCTGGCTGTAGAGGGGGGAAGGTGGAAATTTTAAGAAACTGTGAGAAGAGTAGAGTAGAGAAGCAAAAATACCCAAGGATGGGCTGAGCCAAGTGTTGTGCAGGAATGGGAAGGTCTCCGTGTATAGCCTTCAAGCAGCCTGCCCTTTCCAGAAAACACCCTTGCCAAGGTAAACATGTGCTTTGCCTGTTTTAGACCTCTCACATTTGTGCTAGGAGTTATGGTAATAGAAGAGGGACAGTATTTTCCTTCAGTTCAGCCAAATTGTGATTATTTTTCCCACTCAGGTTCTGACTTCATCATCTTACCTCCTTTATCTGGTGCATCTTCTGCTCTTTCTGCAAGCTGCACACTTGTTTTTGGAGCCGGAGGTTGTGCTCCTGTAGTTGTCCAATTTTCTCGATGAGCTGACAGATGTGTTCCAGATACCCCAGGCCAGAGCCAAGCACCTTGGTGTTCCCTTGATTCACCTGAAAAGACAGTATTATTCAGGCCATAAATTGTGAGCAAAAAAATCCTATCTAGCTACTATATAGGATAAAGCAGATAGAGTTAAGGTATTGATCCAAACTGCTGAGTGCCCATCACACCCTCCAAAAATTCCATTTATACCTGCCAGGAGGCCCCTTTCCCTGTCAGAGTGGTGTGAAAGGCCTTTGATATAATCTGTCTTGTAATTTATGTCTTCACCATGTCCAGCATTCCCAGAACTAAATTCATCTAATGTGCAAGGAGACGTAACTGCCATTGGGCCAAACTCATCCCTAATGTAACTCCAATGAGTTTAATGCAGCTACATTATAGAGAAAGTTAGTCCATTGACCTCAATGTGAGTTGTAAAGGAGCTGTTTGATTCCTTCCAAATGCCACATGCATGTGTATTCAAGTACTTTGTACTCTTGGGATCAGTGGGGAGTAGGATTCACACTGTCTTTTGCACCTGCACAGAATGGTTATTAAATACAGCTGTCATTGTAAGAAAATACAGAAGTCTGATTTGGTGGCCTTTTCAACTTAATGCACATGGGTGTAAATGAAGAGACAAGGTAGGTAAATGGCAATAGTGAATTGGGCTGTGATCCTTTATAAGTGACAGTGGAAGAAAGTTTGCCCATTGCTTTAATTTGCCCATTCAAAAGTAATTCTTGTGACAAGAGTAGCTTCCTAAGAGCCAGATATTTTGAGATTTCTGGGGGAGAGGGACAGCTTGTAGGTCATTTGTGACCAACTCATTCCAGGACTGACATGCATGAACATAAATCAAGTGACACTTAGAACTTAACAAGACTGCAACTCTGATTTCTCTTCTACTGGGACCTGCAAGGTTCTAAAATTCTGCTACCACTCTGCAAAGGAGCTATATGAGTGCCAGAGTAAGACATCAGTGACCGAAGAAAAAGCACTACTTTTCCAGTCTTCTTTTCATATCTTACTGCCCTTTGACTCCTTAGCAGGCCCTTTGTTTGGCAAAAACTTGTACATGTGATATCGGTAAGTATAATAAACCCAGATCTCTGCAAAAGCTCTGCTCTAAACTTTATCTTGCTGTAGAAAGTCAACTGCCTTCACAAAAGCAGGAAGCTTACTCTGTCTCCTTTCTCACAACAGTCCACATTTTTTTAGGAAATGCCAACCTTGGGACTCTTCCTGTCTTTTCATTATGTTAAAAACCTCTTGCTGGGTTCAAAAAAAGATTATCAACATTATGATTACTACTTTTTAAACAAATGATGACACAATGTTGCTTATAAATAACTGTTATTATGCTTTTATGTCCAAGTCTGTGACGTAGGTCACATGAAATGGAATTAAGAAAATAACTTGACACTGGATAAATCAGGAATCTAAGAGCACTTTTTCCTTAGGATTCCTTTTTTTTAAAAAAAGGAGTCAGGATGGATTTTGTTCAAATGTAAAAATGGTTCTTTAAATATGTTTAATAGAAACAAGTCACCGATCCAAGACCACTTCAGAGAACGCAGAGGCCATGTCTACACGAGCATGGATGTTTGGTTCCCTGGGGACAAAGTGTGCCACCACTAGTTGTCCCTGGGGAACGCATGTACCACATGCTCTCTGGCGCACAGCAGGTTACACCAGGTGGGGAAGGGGAGACTGGGGCCAGCACTGGGCTGGCCCCAGCAGTCTTACCTGGGGTCCTGGGAGCTTCCTGGGGCTGCAGCAGCAGCAATCCTTATGCTCGGAGCCTGGCAAGCAGCTGGAGTGTGGTTCCAGCTGGCCAGGCTCTGGTTTTGAGCAGTGCACGCTGTTCCTGTGTGTGCCATTCCACTTTTATTTTGTGTGGGGGTTTTTAACCCCTGGATATCCAGGGGTTGAAAAGCCCTCCTGCATTGCTCCCTTGCAGCACAGAGAACAGCTGAACGTGCAGTATGTGGTGCCACAGATGCGTCTGCAATGCCACATACTGTATGGCCACGCTCATCTGGACACGGCCAGAATCTGAGGGTTGTTGTTCTGGCAAAAGCAAGATCCATTAACTCTAGCCAAGGCATTCAGAAGTGACCAGTGTTTTTTTTTGGTGCTGAACTGAGATACCTGACCTTGTGAAAATCAGGCCCATTGAAGGTGGCTGAAGTTAGAAAGTTACCAGTTATTTTGGAGAATCTTGGCTTGTAGCTATTCTCAATATCTAAAAGGAGGTATCATCCTCTTCCTCTAATTGTGCTGCTTTTAGATGCTTTTGTAATTCTGCAATAACTGGTGCTTTGCTTGTCCATGTGATCATCACAAATGGCTTTATACTGAGCCTCAGAGGTAACTGTATAGAAAGCAAAGGAGAAGCAGTGGGGATAAACTAGCTGTGCCCCATAAAATAATGGGGGAAGGAAATAAAGCCCCTGGCTCCTGAGTCAATAAAAGAGAAGGCAAGGTTTTGATTGTAAACTCTTTGGTATGGACTCTCTTTTGTTCTGTGTTAGTACAGCAAGTGGCACCACAAGGTACAGCACCTAGCCCATAACTACAGCTCCAGTATGTTTCTGCAATAGAAGAAGAGAAAAGATCATCTGGATTTTCAAACACCGTGTAGTGAGGTTAGGAAGCAAAGATGAGTTGGAGGTAACTGTGTGTTCCCTGTGCAGTAGGGCAGATAAGAACTTCACAGCCCTCAGCACAAGTTAGAAAGTAATCCTTGGACTGCTAGAACTAATGCTCTGCTAACGCCTGTGAAACCTAGGAAGGACAGAATGGCTGTAGTGCAGCATGTTCCCGCTACTTCTCTGAAGGTCAGCAGAGCTGTGGCAGTATGCCCAGCCAAAGTTCTAAGCCAAACTGAACATCACAGCCATCTTGACTGGCATAGCACAAGCCTAGGTTCCAAAGCAGCTCTTCAGTGGTGGCTCCCTGTGGGTAAACCTCCAGTGAATTGATTAACATCATTCTGTGCCTATCCCAGTAGTACAAATGGAGAGATAAAGAACTTTAAATGTCAGGCAAGCCCTAAATTGTACCATAACTGCTTTGTAGCAAGCTGCGTATTCACTATGTCTGAGCTCCTTAGGCAGTGCTATGCACTCTGAGAGGGATACATAGCTGAAACTACTCTATTGTACACCTGGTCTGGGCCAGGTTTGTGTCTGACTTAATACTGAAACCAATGGAATGGATATCAAAACCAGAAAGCTTCACTTGTGTCATTCTTCAGGTTGCCTCTAATGGTTTCTCAGCAAGGACCCTTCTGAGGCCTTTCCAGGAATG